CTTGGTGTGTTTTTTCTGCTTCTGCATTTCTTTCATTGTCTTCGATCTCAAACTTCCATTTTCTACAGATTTTGACTACTGGGATTATGTTGTTCCTGAACCCAACCTCAATGAGGTGATATTTGAGGAGACAACTTGCCAGAATTTGGTTAAAATGCTGGAGAACTGTCTGTCCAAATCAAAGCAGACCAAACTCGGTTGCTCGAAAGTCCTTGTCCCCGAGAACCTGACGCAGAGAATCGCTCAGGACGTCCTGCGGCTGTCCTCCACCGAGCCCTGCGGCTTGCGTGGCTGTGTGATGCACGTGAACTTGGAGATTGAAAATGTGTGTAGAAAGCTGGACAGGATTGTGTGTGATTCTAGTGTGGTGCCCACTTTTGAGCTGACATTGGTGTTCAAGCAGGAGAGCTGCTCGTGGACGAGCTTCAGGGACTTTTTCTTTAGTCGAGGCCGCTTCTCCTCCGGCCTCAGGCGAACTCTGATCCTGAGCTCAGGATTTCGACTTGTTAAGAAAAAGCTTTACTCCTTGATTGGAACAACCGTCATTGAAGAGTGCTGAAAGGGAAGCATTTAGAAGGTCCTTTTTATGATTGGACAGTAAAACTGCCCAGCTGCTCAGTTAGTGTTGCAGTTCGCCTGCCTGCTCTCCACAAGAAACCCCAAATTGAGTTCATCTTCCTTCTGTGTTTCATCGTCACAGCAAACCCAACAAAGGGCTTATTTTGTGGCTTTTGAGAAATGACCCAAGAGAGTGTACATTGTCTGCATATATCACATTTTTTACAAAATGGAATGGAATGGAATAAGGGAGGGAAAGAAGCAATCCCCTTTAGTTTTGTATTTGACTCCACCGAGTTTTCCAGGTCGTCTTGCTAATAGACTCTATAGACCAGCTTCACCTAGTTTGACTTTCATATGACTTTTTTTCTGTAAGTTTTCAGAGTGATCCTTTCAATCACAGAATCTTACTGAAAGATGCTTAGCCCATCAAGACTTCCAGAAGCCCACACCTCCGATTTCATGCCCCTACTCAAGTGAGTGAGCTTCTTTGAAACTTAAGCCCACACCAGAGTGACCGAGTGTCACAGCGGGAGCAGAACCGCGGCACGCGTCTCTCTGGCCCTCTGCACGCCGTTGTTTTACAGAGGTAGCGGAAGCCGGAGCTGCCGTTTTCTGTGACCACAGTGTGTTTTCAATGACCTTATGGTGCAATATCAGCTCACTTCTGGTTCTCCTGTACTGAATGTCATCTTGAAATGGAAAAATGGAAAATGCTGGGCTGATTTTCTGCATGTGGTTGGTTACTCTTCCACTGAGTGAACGGGGAGTGAGTTCTCAGACGAGCTTCTTTTCACTACAACGTGTGCTTGCTCTCAGAGAGCCATCCCACCATGGCAGTGTCACCTCACCCTGGCCCCTCCTGGGAACCAACTTGTCTCTTTTTAACTCGAATCTTCAAGGAGACAGCTGCACACTACCACTTTTAATGATTACAATGGGCCTATTTACAAAATGTGCTTTGGCTTTGGGTATCTGGTGTATAGTACAGACCAGAGAATGGAAGTCCCGATGTGGATAACCAGTGCACACACCCACCTTGCTTCAGCCCTGGATACCTGTCCCTAGGGAACAATAAAGGTCTTACTTTTCTCTTGTTCCAACTAGCTAGATCAGATCATTATCCTTGTTTTATTATGTTATTGAGAGAATGTAGCCTCCACACTGCAGTGTTCTATTCAGCAAAGCCTTCAGGTCATGGGTAAGGATCTCCTGCTCAAGCTGTTAGCACCACTTTACTTACCTGAGGCCAGGGTTGTAGGGACAGGTGGCTGCCTCCTGATGTAACTCGAAAGCAGGTGTGATCCTATTACTGATCCCATAAATGACCAAATTTTTCACTATTCAAATCAGCAAGTGTTCTAATAAACTGAACTTTTCAAATCTTGGAAAGATTCCATGAAGCAGATCTCTACAGGACGGGGCCAGGATCAGTCAGCTTTGTTTTGTGTGTCTGCCATAGTTTAGGGCTCGAAGATCACTGTGATGCTGTGCACGAGGCTTCTCCCGCAGATGTAGACCTTCTCCTGCAGATGTAGACCTTCTCCTGCAGATGTAGACCTGTTGTCCTTGTCCCACAAACAGCTGTCTTTGACTCTTGTCTGTGATACTCACAAAATGGTGATGGCTGATGGACACTCTTAAATTAATATTCCTGTTAAAGGAAATTAAAGTTTGTCTATTTTTGACAATAAAGCATCGTATTTTTTAATTCTCTTGTCCTCTTTGTCTTTTCTGAGTTTATGCAACGATCACTATAAAATATATTTGACAATATTCGAGGGAAGACGACAAAACAGTTATCCCCTCTTTGACAAAGGCTATTTGTACCCTTTATTATAATATTCCACTTGCATTTATTGCATTTCCTTATGTATCAATAGTGATTTGCTTCATAATTTTTCAAATACGATAATACTTTTTATAGGAAGACATTACCAATTTGAACTCCTTTGGCAACCAGCTTTTTTTAAAAACTCATTGTGTAAAGGCTTTTTTTATAGTTTTCCTAATGAATGAATGCAGATATATCAAATTGTGAGATCAGTGTACATTTTCACTTTTATCAGGATATTCTATTTGAACAACATATCTTTCTAATTCCACTATTATTCATCAATTTGAGTTTTTAATCTTTTTCACCAATGTTTTCTGTCTCCTCACATTTATGGCCATTAGCTCAGATTTCTCATACTACATAACCTACATTTAATAAGACTTGCTAAGTGCTAGGTTCTTTTCTAGGTGCTTTACATAAATTATCTCATTTATTCCTCATAACAGCCTATGGAATGAGACTGCTATCATCTCTACTTTAGAGATAAATGACCAGACACAGAGAGGTTAAGTGACTTTCCCAAAGTCACCAAGTGCCACAGGAGGGCCGGAGTATAAAACCAAGCCGGCTCCAGGGCCTGTGCGCACCATGCTGCCTCCATGTGAGCCTTGCAGCACAGAGGCCTGACCCATAGCACCAAAAGACTGAAAAAAGACGTCAGGAACATTTGCCTCTTAATCTGAAGAAAGAATTCTTACTGTGGTTTCTTTTCAGGGAGGAAAAATGAAACTACTAACAATATTCATCATTCATTGGAGCAGAGCTGTGCTTAGAAAAAAAACATCCAAATGTTTAAAAAGACGTGCATTTCAATCCTGGCATTTCGTGCCTATCTTGTGTAATTGGCCTGGTTACTTTTTCATGTACCTTCAAAAAAAGGTGTGATCTGTCCCCCATCTATCTCAAGAGGAATAAAATGTCAGCGAGAGTGTGTGATGGCCTCCTGAAAGAAGGGCATGTCTAATTTTCCTCTTGTTAACAGAAAGAGAGTATTATTTTATAATAATGGATTCAACTCCTAATTCTGTTTCGCCAATGACATAATCTACATCCTCATGGAGTCAGCTTCCTGTTGCACTGTTGACAGTTTTCCCATTTACATAGTGGAAGGATGCACAAGTATAAAAATCTTAAAGTCTATTACACTCAGTTCTCAATTATCTACATTGGTTTAAACAAGTGATAACAGAAGGCCAAGGCAGGTTGGTGGCAGATGAGGAGGGAGAGGTACATGGTAATGATCTGGGAGGAGCATCATGCAGATGTTCAGAACCCTCAACTCCTGCCGGGATGCTGCTGCCATTGATTATAGACTCGCAATACTCCACTGAGTCCACTGCATCTGCCACAGACAAGAGAAGAGAGGGACTGTGAAGGAGCTCGTGGGAAACTTAGGGGCCAGGTGGGAAGTGATGTATGTGACTTCTGTCTATATCCCATATAGAACTCAGTCACGTGGCCCCATTCAATTGCAAGATGGGCCGGGAAATGTGGTCATGTGGTGTACCCAGAAGGAAATGGGCTTGATGTACTGCTAACATAGTTTCTGCCACACAGGGAGAGACAAGTTAGTCTATGAAATGATAGAGAGCCCAGACACAGACCTATGCATATATGGAAAGTTGATTTACAGCAGAGGTAGCACTTTAGATCAATAGGTAAATGATGGTGTTTTCAATAATTTGTGCCATAATAGTCATTTATCTACATGAAAAAAATAAAATTGGATGCATACACATAAACATAAAAGTCAATTCCAGGTTGATTAAAGAATTAAATGTGAAAGGGAAACTTAGAAGACAACATAATTTTTATGATTTTGATATAGAGGAAGATTTCTTAAAAAGATGCAACAAAATCACTGAAACTTCTGTTTAACACATAACACTATAAAGAGAATAAAAATACGTCATGAATTAAAAATACAAGTCATGGATTAGAAGAAAGTATCTTCTATACATATAACTGAAAAAGAGTTAGTAACCAGAATATGTTAAAAATTCTTTCAAAGCAATTAGAAAAATGCAAACAACCCAAAAGAAAAAATATGAGCAAAAGCCTGAGTAGGCACTCTACAGAAAAGGAAACACATATGGCTGATAAACATATGAAAAGATGCTCAATCTAACTAGTAATCAGGGAAATGCAAATTAAGCACGATAAGACACCAATGTATACATATCCATATTGGTAAAAAAAAAAAAAAAGTTTAAAATCTGAAAACTCCAAATGTTGATGGGGATATGGGGGAAAAAAAAAAACTTACTTCAACATGCCAAACGGTGTATCTATGCAGTCTGACGTTATTTTGCAAAATTGAAGATAAACATATTTTATGAGTCAACAATTCCATTTTTAGTTATCCAACCTAGACCAGTGTTCTTCAAACTTTTTTGCTTGTTGCACATTTAAAAGAATTTTATAAAAGTACACCCTCTGCCATATTTTTAAATTGCCATTTAAAATTTTCACCATAAGTTTAAATGTTGCAAATGATGTACATTCCGGTATGTGGTAAATACTGATCTTTTTAAATAAAACGATTACATCACCTTGTTAACTTTCAATGGAACATAAATAGCATAGTAACTTTGTACTCACCAAAACTGTTTAGAAAACACTAAAATAGGGTCTTCAACAAAATAAACTTTTTCAGTGTTATTTTCTCTTGTATCTTCTTAAAGTCTACTTTTACACTGAATTTTACCTTAATATAATATATTTTAAGATTGAAAGTCTTTTATTAATATTTCTTCTCTACAATAAAAAGATTATAAATTAAAATTGCAATTTTTTAAATTTCCTGTGATCATAAGGCTTTAAATGTTAATGTTTTGATTGAATTAACTTTACAAATAATAATAGTACACAATAATCAAAACATTAAGTATGTTTTTGAATTACATAAATACTATTAAGCACAAAATAATATTGTCTCAGTGAGAGATTCTTTTAAATTAGTGAATTAATTTACAGATAAATATTGTTTTTTGCTAGAATTAGAGGATAAAGTGTCATTTCCTACGTTTGTTTCTATAGATGTAAGCTCTAAGAAAATGTATTCCTATCAATCAGTAGATGAGAATCAAAGAGATTTGGCTATTACAATATCAAATTGTAATCATTCCTTGAGCTACTTTCAAGATATATGCCAAAATCACAAAAATATCTATCACCAAAAATTATTTTAAATTATCAATATGCAGATCATTCAATAAGG